AGTTGTACCCATGCTTCCTGACACAACACTGCTACAGAGTTGTACCCATGCTTCCTGACACAACACTGCTACAGAGTTGTACCCATGCTTCATGACACAATACTCCTACAGAGTTGTACCCATGCTTCATGACACAATACTCCTACAGAGTTGTACCCATGCTTCATGACACAACACTGCTACAGAGTTGTACCCATGCTTCGTGACACAACACTGCTACAGAGTTGTACCCATGCTTCGTGACACAACACTGCTACAGAGTTGTACCCATGCTTTGTGACACAACATTCCTACAGAATTGTACCCATGCTTTGTGACACAACACTCCTACAGAGTTGTACCGATGCTTCATGACACAACACTTCTACAGAGTTGTACACATGCTTCATGACACAACACTTCTACAGAGTTGTACACATGCTTCATGACACAACACTCCTACAGAGTTGTACCCATGCTTCATGACACAACACTGCTATGAAGCATGGGTACAACTCTGTAGCAGTGTTGTGTCATGAAGCATGGGTACAACTCTGTGACACAACACTTCTACAGAGTTGTACCCATGCTTCATGACACAACACTGCTACAGAGTTGTACCCATGCTTCGACACAACACTTCTACAGAGTTGTACCCATGCTTCATGACATGACACTTCTGCAGAGTTGTACCCATGCTTCATGATACAACACTTCTACAGAGTTCTACATTGCTTCATGACACCACACTGCTACAGAGTTGTACCCATGCTTCATGACACAACACTGCTACAGAGTTCTACATTGCTTCATGACACGACACTGCTACAGAGCTGTACCCATGCCTCCTATGCCACACGTGGTATGTTATGCAAGCACAAAATTTCAGAAGTGTAAGAGCAGGAAAAATACAACGAACCTGGGACAAGTGCACTTTGTTGAGCTTTAGACGAAGTTTTTCAGCTTTGTCCTCTATCCCAGGACCTTTCAACAATGGCATGTCCATACTAGGAGTGGCAATGTTAGCACTTGCCACCATTAGAATTTCCCTCAGACGAGGAATTCCAAGAGTGACGTTCATTTCTCCACGGCCAGCGAAGTGGAAGGTATTCAAGGTCATCTGAGTGGATGGTTCTCCAACTGACTATAAAAATAAAAAATGATCAAAATTAAACTCCTGTAGCTGTAAACAAATAAAATCATTCAATTATACAGTTTTCTTTCTCTACTTTTCTGCAATTATATGTTTTAGTGTTGTGTTAATGCATTAATATAAGTATAAATTGTACTAACAAATTTCTTAATACTTGTCTCTAAATGTATGAACCATCAATTACTGGTTCCTAATCTCTAGTACACGTATAACCAAAAATATCAAGAAATACACCCAAGCTTCAAAATTGAAGGCATTAGTAGTGAGTTACCAAAAATATTCTACCAGCCAGAACTGTACGTTTACGTATTGTTGACTCACACTTAAATTATTTTTTTTTATACCAGTATAAACCACTTTTCTGTTCTGATTTTATTTGGACAAATTATGTGAGCCAAAAATACATCACTGGCTCAAGGAACTTATTGGGGATTCACTGCATAAAAAAGTTGGGAACAAGTAAACACATCATGTGGCTATCATCATGTTAGTTAGTTAGAGAACTGGCCACACCATGGCATCTCGGTAGCAGATAATCGTAGCTCTAACGAAAACACGAGTAAAGAATTTTGTTAACATGATTCTTGATATAAGTCTTGTTAGGTATAAAGCCCTTGATTTTAGTTACGCACCCTTCAATGATAGAAACAACATCATTCTAAGTTACGGGTGGTTATGACCCATCTATGTAGCAGGAGAAAGAAGAGAGTTACTATCTATTTTTTTTGTTTAACAATTAGTTTTAAATTACCAATATGTTCATGTTTTACCATTGGGTAACAACCTACAGTTTGGGAACTACTGCTCTGAACTATTCTGAAAATATATGACAAAACTTTTGTTCAACCTGTAAATGATTTTGAAAACAGCTCTAAAGATGGCATATTAACAGTAAAATTCAAAACACTCAGTCTGCGAGTCACTGAGACCAAGTTTTGGGAGGTAAGTGAGATACAGAGGTGTTTCCAGTATCCTAGTTAAAACCAAAGGAATATTCTCTTACAATGTTAACCTAAAAAAAAACACACATTCCTACCAAAATAACTTGATTCATTTAATAGAAAACAAAGTATCATAATGAATAGTAGAACCATAGCAACAACTGTAAACAACTTTAATGAACGTTTTTGGAATTACACCTATTCCATTTTCAGCAAATCTGTAATAATAATAAGGAAAGGAACAATCCTTAGCATAATTACTAATATACAAATACAATGAATAGTGTTAAAAAGTTACAAAATATTCAATTTCAAAAGATTGTTCACAGTTGTTGCCATGGCTCTACTATTCATTATAAACTTGCCTCTCAATAATGTGCAGGCACAATGAGGAAGAATTTAGGGAGTTAGCTGGACTATTAATCTTGTGCAAGATAGTAGATACCATACATCAAAGAGTGAGCTTTACAGAGGTGACGTGCAGCCAGGTAGATACCGTACAGCAGAAAGTGAGCTTTACAGAGGTGACGTGCAGCCAGGTAGATACCGTACAGCAGAAAGTGAGCTTTACAGAGGTGACGTGCAGCCAGGTAGATAGCATACAGCAGAAAGTGAGCTTTACAGAGGTGACGTGCAGCCAGGTAGAAACCATACAGCAGAAAGTGAGCTTTACAGAGGTGATGTGCAGCCACTACCATTTTTTGTGGGGGATTTTCTGGCCTAGAGTATTATATTTACTCCCACATCGCCAGGAAACTAAGATGGATTCAACCATACTGGTGGACAATTCGATTTATGGTATCTCAAGGAGTTCAAATCTCTATTCATGATTTTGAAATAAAAGGAAAAGTAGCAGAAAATTTTGTTTGGGAATCAACCTGCCATATGTGTCTCCTTGACTCGGACTGAGTGTGAAGTAGTCAAACAAATGTTTTATTCAAGAATAAAAAATACGGCGATGAAAACTATTTGAAAATACCTGAGCAGCTAACAAACCAACAGCCTCCCCAGGTTCACAAAGAGACTTTAAGCTTTTCAAGAAGATCATGTTACGGAACTGTTCTGCGGAGATCAACTGTCTAGACTGAGACGGGAGTGAGTCATCGGAGATCAGATTGTCTGGATTAGTAGCTATGTAATTCTCTATAATACTTTCCCATTTCTCTGGCAAAGAGCCAAATGTCACATCTGGTCGCAGCCTGGAAGTCACAGGATCTGGGCAATTCCTATTTTCTTTTACGAGCCTTTACGGAAAAAAAAATTCTATATGAACACTTTGCTATCAGTCTATGGTATTCTACTACTTACCCTAACAAGTCTTTTTATACACTTATTTTGTTTTAGTAAAACAAGGCAAGTGTTTTTCTCCAATGTAGAAAATAACTCATGAATGTCTAAGCCTATCTTTTTATTATTATTATTCTATTTATGACAAAATAGACATGTACACTTATATTCCAACATCCATATCAACTACATCCAAAAACTACGCATCTATATAAATTAACATTACACAAAAACACATCGTCATTTCTTTAAATTCCATCTCTTACTTTGATGTATTTTTCTCAAAACATAAAGCTCCTTCAATATATCAAAATATAATCAACCAAATTCATTCTTAGTTTACATTTAGCATCTGGTTTGATTTACAAATCTAAAAACATTGAACATCTGTCAGATATGCCATAAAAATAACAAATAAACAACACATTTATATTATTTTATATCTGATCACAAAGCACTTTCTATGATCACTATATCCAAAATATTACAAAGACAAACTACAAGTCTATAGCTTTAACACCAACTCCACTAGTAGTGGACCTTACAGTTTGTTACAGTTACTCTGAACCTACACTACTAGTGGATCTTACATTGATCCTAGGGTATTACTTAACATACCATTAGTGTTAATGTTTCATTACATTGTTCCTTAACATACCATAAGTATTAGTGTTTCATTACATCGTTCCTTAACATACCATAAGTGTTAGTGTTTCATTACATCGTTCCTTAACATACCATAAGTGTTAGTGTTTCATTACATTGATCCTTAACATACCATAAGTGTTAGTGTTTCATTACATTGTTCCTTAACATACCATAAGTATTAGTGTTTCATTACATCGTTCCTTAACATACCATAAGTGTTAGTGTTTCATTACATCGTTCCTTAACATACCATAAGTGTTAGTGTTTCATTACATTGTTCCTTAACATACCATAAGTATTAGTGTTTCATTACATCGTTCCTTAACATACCATAAGTGTTAGTGTTTCATTACATCGTTCCTTAACATACCATAAGTGTTAGTGTTTCATTACATTGTTCCTTAACATACCATAAGTGTTAGTGTTTCATTACATTGTTCCTTAACATACCATAAGTGTTTCATTAAGTTGATCCTAGGGTATTACTTAACGTACCTCTTTTTTGTCTTAGGCTCAAATGAGTACCATACATCTTGTAATTTCTCTTTTGCTGCTTCTCGCTGAGTCAGAAAATTCACTTCAGGATATTTACTACGTAAAGATTCGATGTGAGCTTTTGAAAAGGTCAAGAATGCACTTCTTCTCCAGTTCTTTTCCAGATTTTTGTTCTTTTTCTTCCATTTAGAAATCTATTACAAATTAGGAAAGAATTGTCATATAATAAAATATTTTAGTCCAAAAATAGATATAGGTCTATCCATTTCTGTGTTAAAAGAAATTCATCCTTCCTTATCCTTGCATGTTCCTTAGTACTTATATCTTCTTTCTTAATAATCTAAACTTATTTTTCCAATAAACATAATTCACTGTAAACAAATCTATAGAATAGAAATCTCTGAATGGTGGGAATGATATAACTAGGGGACAGAAATATAACTTTTGATTAGTCTTCAACTGGAACAGCTTTATTATTTCATCAAGGAAGTTGGCCTTTAGAATGGATTGCCTTCAGATGTGGAACATGCAGTTGATTTAAAGTTTAAGGCTTGATAAATATTGAATGAGAAAGGCTGTGTTTTGTTTTTATTTTAAAGTTTAGTTTATTGAATGAGATGGGTTAGATGAACCAACACGTTCCTTGTTGTTTAAATTGTGTGTATTTTGTCATTTACACTCCATACCTAACTTACTGAAATTGTAGCCCTAGGAGAAGCCTAGAGTTTTTTTATTATAAAACAACTTTACAATAATTAATACTCTGTGCCGAAAATATGACGATTACAATACAGTTTGTTGTTCTTCATTATTAATAACTACCAGGATTACAGTACACTTTAGCCGTTTACATATTAATCTTGATAAGCTACCAGGATTACAGTACACTTTAGCTGTTTACATATTCTTAATAACTACCAGGATTACAGTACACTTTAGTTGTTTACAAATTAATCTTGATAAGATACCAAGATTACAGTACACTTTAGTTGTTTACATATTAATCTATAGAAGCTACCAGGATTACAGTACACTTTAACTGTTTACATAATAATCTATAGATGCTACCAAATATTACAGTACACTTTAGTTGTTTACATATTAATCTTGATAAGATACCAAGATTACAGTACACTTTAGTTGTTTACATATTAATCTATAGAAGCTACCAGGATTACAGTACACTTTAACTGTTTACATAATAATCTATAGATGCTACCAGGATTACAGTACACTTTAACTGTTTACATATTAATCTGTAGATGCTACCAGGATTACAGTACACTTTAGTTGTTTACATATTAATCTGTAGATGCTACCAGGATTACAGTACACTTTAACTGTTTACATATTAATCTGTAGACGCTACCAGGATTACAGTACACTTTAACTGTTTACATATTAATCTGTAGACGCTACCAGGATTACAGTACACTTTA